TCCAGCGATGAGTCCTTATTTCACCCTTTAAGAGCTACATCTTCCAGAAGAACCATCAGCATCCAACACTTCCAAGTGTGTCAAATTCCTACACCCCCCACTATGTGCTGTGGTTCCATCCACCAGCCCCTGGGCCATTACAGGACACAGTAGTGAAACAAGTGCGGTAGAATGAAGCCACAGAACACACCCGGAGTCCAGGCATATGACACACCCAGAAGATTCTGCTCAGGTGAACTATGGGCTCAGTGCTTTTCCCCATAGTTCTCCCCAGGGTAGTGGGAGGACATATACTAGCGTCCTCCCATGACCCAAAGCTCAGTATACTGCGAGCTACAGCTGTCTGGTTGTAGCTGTTTACATTACTGTCTGGAAATGTAGCTGTCTACATTACTGTCTGGATCCACCCAGCTCCGTGATTGACAGTTGGCTCTGCCTATCTAGAGCCAGCTGTATCCGTCCGTTCCGCCAGTCAGCGCTGGTGGATCAGACAGGGGAGGGGGGGAATCCCTGCAGGGAGTTGTGAGTGACAGTCACGGCTCTGCAGGGACATGATCGAGAAGTGAGTGAGTGACTGTATGTGTTCGCTCACTTCCCGATCTATTGAGCCGACGTGTGACAGTTTCATTGTCACACATCGGCTCGAACTATGAGCCTGAGTGATTTTCACTCACCTCATAGTTCTCCTTTAAGCCTCAATAATAGGTGTAAACTGTTATTAAATTGTATTCTTGTCCTGTCAGAGCAGAAATATCAGGCCAGCGTAACCTCCCCAGGGAGACTGACTTGTCTTCTGCCATAAATCAGCGCAGGCAACTGACACTCTCTCCAAACTGCTAAGGCTACAATTGTCAATTAGCAAATATTTAAAATTTTGGCTATAAAATCCTGACCTAACCCATATTACACGACAGTTAGATTAGGCTAGTGATAGGAAGGTCTTACAGCTTGACACTCAGTTTGGCAATTCTGCTCTGACAGGGAGAGAGAATATAAGTGAATGATCAAAATCAGGTGACCCCTCAGAACTAAGGCTGCATCATTATAGCAATTCAAGAGTAAAGATTTGCAGGGTTATTCACAAAACGGTGAAGGGTTTGGAGAAGGCAGGAGAGGTGAACAATCTAGGCCAAAAGAGCCGATTTAGAAAAATTCTCCTAATCAGCTCACTTTCCAGCTCAGATTGTTCACTTCTCCTGCCTTCTCCAAACACTTCACCCTTTTGTGAATAGCCCTGTAAGAGTATTAAATATGCCTATTGGTGACTAGTTCTCTTTAAGGGAAGATTGGTTCACTGCTAGATGTGAACATGACTGTTTTATTCTACGAACTACCCAACTTCAGGATCTGCTTGTTGAAATTTCCTCAGGAATGAAATTCACCACCAAGCCTCTTTATCATTATGCAGTAAATGACCCAAGCAAATGACTCAGAAGTACAATGAAAAATATTTGAATGTGCCACTTTTCCTCTACTATGAACATCCTAATTACTGCAGTGCCACTGAGCGGTGCTACATCTTTTAAGGAGGTTGCAACTGTTAAATTGGCAATCAGAGGTAGATTTAAAACCAGCATTTACTAATGTAGGCATTCAATAGATGCATCTGTCAATACAATTAACAGGCTTCAGTTAATACTCCTGCAGACTGCATTAACAAATGTGTGTTGCATACACTAACTAAAGGGATAGTCTTTTTTTCACATATGCGCAAAACTAATTTTATTTTTCCCTCTCCAGAAGCCAGCAGTGACAGGAACAGCCCCACAGCCAGCTCACAAAATCTTTCGCAAATGAATACTTTGCCATCAGAGAGACATCTCATGCCATTGGAGTTCAGTTACCCACCAAATACTCACAAGTCATTACAGCATGAGGAAAAACGGACTCACTTCAAAGACCCAAAGGGCAGCAGGGACTACAGTAGACAACATAATGACCATCACACTTGGAATGGGTCCTCTAAAAACTATTCTGTACAGAGTGGCCGAAGGGACAGGTCTCCCGAAGCCAGACGGCCAAGGCAAGGGGAAAAAATGGCAGTCAACGGGCAGAAAAAAATGTCTCCTGACAAGAGAACTGAAGGGACGAGGAGTGCTGAAAACACTTTAGAGAGGAAAGAAAAAGATCGTCATGAGAAGAGGAGAGACAGTTCTTCTCAGAGAAACAGGGAAAGGTCACCTGTGCGGAAAAGAGATGGGTCACCTAGCCGTAGAAGAAAGTCACTGGATCGCTTTATGGATCAAAGGAGATCACCGGATCGTAGGAGAGAGAGTTCTCCTGAACGAAGAAGAGCAAAGTCATCTGACAGAAGAAGGGAAAGATCTCCTGAGAGAAGACGGGATCGCTCCCCTGAAAGGAGGAGAGAAAGGTCTCAAGAAAGGAGGAGGGAAAGATCTCCAGACAGACGAGGCCGAGATCAAAAATCCAGCAACCGAGATGATCGTAGTCTGAAGTCTGATACTATGAAAAATGCTAGACATCCCCCAGACCAACGGAGGAAACCCTATAAGGAATGTATCACAGACCTCAGTATCTGATCAATCTGATGTCACATTCCAGCCTTTTCATTGTAAGGCTTTGAGAACAAAACTTCTTTATAGTGTCTTACTTAGCACCCAACACGTAATGACCCTGTACTACCATGAAATGTTTTATGCAGATGAAACCTTACTACAGAGTGTTGTGCCTGATGTATATTAAAGAAAGTATTTTTGATGTATCTTTTTTTAAGTTATTTGCCAAATGTAAACCCCTAAGGGATAGAACATGCTCTTCGAGGAGGTATTTTATGGACTGTGTTCACTTTTGGACTTTTATTTCGGACATCTGTAGAACATTTTCATGGCACTGGACAGTAAACTGTAAGCTTTTTTTTCTCATTCTTTGGCTAGGCTTCATCAACAAGTTTCTTTTTCTGACTGTTATCTAAAATAACAACTGATGTAATTAGAAATCTATAGGCCGATAGTAAGAACGTATGAAATGTGGAAACGTTTTTGAAGAATTCTAACTGATCTAATGGAGGATATTCAAGACTACTATTTCAATGAAGGATATATATAAGCACACTTTATAAAAACAAATTATGTTACCACATTATAGTTTGCTAGGGGGGGCCTGCAGTAAAAGGGATAGAATGCCAACTGAAAGTACTTGCCAGTGGTAACTGAGACCCTAGAGTGTTAAACCTGGATGATTACATGGTATTTCAGAGACCAGCAGTCTATTGGGTTAGAGCAGTGATCCCTAATCTTTTATAACTTAAAGACCAGGTTCCAAAATTGACTTACATGTCTGTAACTGATGTGTTCACCCATTGACAATAAACCAGGTCGGAGGTGGTTAGTATATCCAATAGCCATCAATGGGGACTGCACAAACTTGTGCATTTAGAACCACTAGACCCCAAAAGGTCCCAATTAATAAAAAAGAGTCTGTTGTGCAGATAAAAGTTTCTTGGTTTTGCAGGATAAAAGCCATTTAAAATACAACCTTTGAAGTAAATCAGTTATTTTCCTATGTTCCAAAAAATCAAGTGGTGCTGACCTAAAAGGAATAGAGAAATATCAGTTCTCCAGAATTTCATTTTTGAAACATTTAGATCTTATACAGACTTTCAATAATGCAAAAAACTAATTGAATTCCAAGGATCTCAAGAGGTTGGCAGTTGGTCATTAGGACTGAAAGGTGGTACCTCTTTAAGAAATAACCACTAATTAGCACCCTACTAGCTTTAAAGCTTACCCTGTGATACGGGGTGCAATTGGGCCAATAACATGAGTATCTCACACACCACTGGTTGGAGATCACGGATCTACAATAGTCTGCTGGCCCCTACTTTTAATGTTATGGTCAATATGGATGAACGATGGTGTTCCCATGGATAATGTTGATACTTGCAGGTCTCATTGCATGGCCTAATTTTTTTTTAACATATATTTAAGTAACAGCAGATGGTGTCACAACTGCTGCATATTTTCAGTCTAACATATTGCTTTACTGCCTTGCTGAGCCGAAATGTCTGCCACCTCTCCAAAAATGCCACTTTTACAGTACATTAGTGTGTATTAAAAAAAAAACAAAAAAAACATACTGAAGTGAATGAGCGTTGCAAGTCTATCACTGTCGTTGCTATGGTACTGTACAAAATAATGGCCAATCATTGTGTGTACAGAGGTGAAACTGTAATTATTCAAGCCTGTTGAAATAACAAAAAAGCTTTTTTTTTCCTTGTATAAAAGATACTTTATGCTGAAAAAGAATCGGGGGAGGAATGTGATAATTGTTTATATTTCTGAGACTGAAGAAAAAAATTATGAATCGGGAATATATTTTAATGTAAACTGAATCAGGTATGTAAAGATGTTTTTCTTTTTTGGGATCGGATTCCATCACAGTGACTTTGTTGCTTCAAGAATAAAGCGCTTGTATACATTCTTCCACGGTCATATCATGTACCCAGTCCATGGTGTTTTCTTTTAATTGTTGTTTTTCTTTTTTGTCTTGAAGAAAAAGAGGTTTGTGGGCCAATCTTTGTTTTGAAACACTATGCATAGATCTATTTGACACTGTTCATGCCACTGCTTTATTTAAACCTATGAGAGTTAGGGCGTTGAATTGATTGAAGCTGATTCTTGACTTTGCCATTACAGGCTTCCTGACATGGGGCAATACACAATGTATGTAGCTAGACAAGCAAGTCTGTGAATGCTATTTTTATTATAAATAAAGTTTTCAATACAAAATGTACCTTTTGTCTTATGAAAGCTGACGATCTGCCTGTAGTTCATATCTTGCATATAAGTGAATGAATTGAAATGTGCTGGTTTCGATGACATATCTCGAGTAAAGTTGCATGACCACTACTACCAACGAGGCTGGTTAGCTCTACATCACTTTTAGGGCTTGTGTATGTGTTCAAATGTAGCTTTCTTTAAGGTGCATTCAGCTTGTGTTTAAGATCATTTTGCAATGTTTCTGACTTCCATATACATTTTATCTGTCACGGTTCCAGGGATGTGAGCCCACAAGCTAGCATGTGGCACGGGATCACCCAGGTCCTGGAATCTAAGGGCCATCTGGTGTTCTGCCAGGGACCCTCTCATGGAAGTTTGGACGTAGCTGCGTGCTGATCCCAGGTCGTGACTTCCGGGGTCACCCTGCTCACGTGTGGAGAGTACACACCCAAGGAGAGAGATAGTAAGAGTCAGGACAGAAAGTAGCAGAAAACAAGGTATATTAACCCTCAGGTGAAGCGGGAGACACACATAGCTGCTAGCCCGGTGCAACCATAGCAGAGCACATGCTAGTAGAACCACAGGTGCCAGCAGACCCACAGCAGCAAAAGGTAAAATCCAATGCAAACCAGTGAAGAACAGATCAGCTCTGAAATCTGATCTGTGACAGTATCTAACCTGCAGTTGACCCTCTTCTGAGCTGCTTAAAGCAGCATTTGTATTTCTGTTGACATGTATGGGGAAACAATTGAGTGAACAAAGCCCATATACACAGGCCCATTGGCTACCTAAGATAAAGTGTTGGCATAACCTATTAGGCTCATCTTCTAGACTTTTCTTTGGTTGGGATTTAGGACATCTCCTAAACACAATACTCCAACCAAAGGATTGAATGTCCCTTGAAAGTCAGTCTGCCATCAAGCCTCTAACTACAGTCATAACAGACCATGAAACCTCTACATGGCTAAGAAGCACAGGGGAGCCCAGCATTGTCTGACTACACAGAGATTTATGGGAGTAGCAAAAAGCATTTGGTAATAAATATTGATAAGATGTATATATAGTGTGGGAACCTCATTATGAATGTAATGAACACAATTAGTATTCTGCATTGCTTTTGAGATGGGATTAGGAAAAGGAATGGAGCAGTAGCTGAATAGTTTTTGCCAATAGGGCCCCATTTTACATGTTATGGTCCTGGCTGACCTTAAGCCTTAACATGTGACTATGGGTGACATTTCATTCAGTTCTACGGGCACAGCGAAGCGATTGTTCCGCATCGCATCCTGCTGCTCTAAGAAAAAGTACAGCATGTCATACTTTTTTTTTTCAGTGCACACCATCGCGTTCCCATCACTACGCGGAGGTGTGAACCAAGCAAATTGCCTTGTCTTGCATTGGAGCTGCGCTGAAAACAACGGCCAGCGGAGCCCAAACGCAAATGGTGTGAATTGCCCCTAAAAGTGAATGTGATCAATCTTATGGTGAATAGGAGGAAAAATATACAAAAATTAGACTGCCAGCTCTTTTCATCATGGGAGACCGATGCCATCTAATCTCTCCAGCCAATCCAAGGTTTCAGATTTGTACTGAGTATACAGTAGATCAGCAGCAGCAGGTAACTGTCAAACTGTAACATATCAACTCCATGTATTAAAAAAAATAAATCAGGGACTGCATTTTCTCCTGACCTCTACATGCCTCTCACATGAGGTGTGCACTCAGCTATAGCGAAATTATAAAAAAGGTCTCCAAAGATAAACTGTGGTTATTAAGAAATAGGACGAGTGTTTTATGGTTGAGGGAGTACAGAAACCTTCACAAAAAGCTGCAATTTATGTTCTTTTTTTAACCATAAAGCAAAGAGACTTAAAAGATATCTAAACCCAGGAACAAAATTGTGTTTTATTGCAGCTTATTTGATTTTAGTTGTGGTGATCATATTAGTTTTCTTTTTTCAGTATGTTTTCTGCCAATAAAAATGCATTTTGACCCTGCTAGAATTCCAGTGTCCTTGTTACTTCCTGTGCCATCAAAGATTTCCTCCCTATGTAATGGAAGAGAATGAGAAGAGTAGGTGGTGTTTGTAGTCCAAATTGGAAGAGCAGCCTTGGCTGACAATGCTGCTAATCACCTTGATAGATTAAGTACAGAGAGTGAGTGTTGTCACCCTAGATCAGGAAGTGTGCACTGGCAGGATCACCAGGTGAAGATATAGAAAAAAATAGCCTGGAGAAAAAGGAAATTCATGCAGCCAACTTATTGAAGGACTGGTAAGCTACAATATATTACATTTTTGTTTTTAGGATACACTTGCACAAGGTAATTCACTTGCAAGAAAATTAGAGTTTTTATAATTAACAAGTATAAAGATCAATATAAACAGAAACAAAAGGGTACCTGTGTGTTTGGAGCATTCCGTGTAAAGGATGATCATTTCTGTTGCTCTGGGTTACAAGGTAATCAGGTACTATAGTTCACGGTTATAATACAGCTGATTGCATTCTATTTCTGCCTTTCTCTACTGTGCAGGGAATTATAGGAGGCTGGTGCCAAGTCCAATTCCGCTACCTAACCTGTGATTTTCACATTTAAAATGCATTCAATGATTTTTGATATACATAACTGCATGATCAGTTTTGTTCACTTGGTGACCCTGACAGTAAAGTTGGGTATAGACGGGTCTATTTTTATTGTTCAACCTGTGGGCTGAACAAGAAAAAAAAAAACAGATTCCTCCATCAATGCTTACAAGCGTTGGAGGAATCTGTTCTATTTTTTTCGTTCAGCCCACGGGTTGAATGAAAAAAATTCAAGTGTCTACACGACTTTACTGGCAAGATCGCCAGGTGAACACTTTACAGTGTTGATGGAGGAATCCCCTGCTGTTTGCATTGTATTCTGACTGTGGCCACTAGCCGCTGTCAGAATGCCCAAATGGATTAGCTGCCAGCTCCGTTCGCCAGAACATTTTCCAACT